AGAGGCAAAGGAAGAGAGGACTCCCAAACTCTGTCTTTTTACTTTGACTAAACTTTATAAACGATTCACGACGGTTCGACCTTAGGTCTTCAGATAAAAGGTTTTTACCTGATGAAGGTCAAAGGACCTTTGTGCACTACAAAATGGTTTTTAAATATTTAGGGAGGGACATGTGCAGGAAGTCACTCAATTAAGGGAACATGGGATCCTAGTACCAGTTTGCATCCTAACAATACAATACAACAGGTCTTTGCTTCTGGCACCATGGCCCACCATTAAGTCACAGTTGTAGCCCTCTAAGAGAAAAAGTTTGGGCGCCCCTGTACTAGAGGGTACGGACCGAAAAACCCCAAAAGACAAAACCCTGTAGCTGTAGCTAGCTAGCTAAATAACATTAACTCTGTGAGTTGTTTGGAAACTCCACCCCTAGCTGACTTTTTAATGTTTCTTATTGACTCTTATGAAAATGAGAAACCAGCATTTGGGTCCGGGATATTGGGATAAAGTGGTAAGCAGCATCTAAGACTAGTTACACCGGCTCCAGTGTATGTCTAAGTCCTGAACAGGCCTTTTTTCTAACCTAACCTTTAACCCTGCAAATATTATTGCATGGAAGAAAAGTTTTTTTTTAGGACAACCTGGTTTGTTCGACAATAAGCAAATGTGATTTGGTATTACTGCACACAATATTCTCTTTGTCGAACAAAGGTTTTCTTACACATTTAGATCATCTTAACAAATGACCACAACCTTACAAATTTATGCTTGTCCCACACTGTTGGATAGACAAAGGACGTCCCGGAGGGGCTGCGAGCCGAGCTGCTGCTATAGTAGCTCAGCTTGTTTCTCTGATAACTTAAGATCCAGACGTCCGATGACTGAACTCCTTCATCCGGTTCAAATCTAGAGTTAAAATGCACCAAGATCTAAAGAGTCGATGGTAAAAATGTGGCTTCAGACTGGATAAACAGTCAATGTATGACAGCTTCTGATAGACAACCACAATGCTGACGCAGGCACAAAGGGGATATGATGCCATTGACAGGCGACCCGTGAAACACAGCGTTACCTGAATAAAATGACAAATTTCTTTGAGTTTGAACATTATCGGAAACATTTGGTGTAATGTAAGCACACAGCTTTGTAGTTCATAGATATTGTAACGTGGAAATGTTACAGATTAGAGCTTTAATCCGATTTTTTTCCTGGTGAACAAAGATAGAATTATGTTTGGTACAAATATCTGTTTTTTCTTTGTTACAACCATCGCAGTCAGATATTTTTTGATCAACTTTGAACAACTAACAATGTGAACAGTACAAGAAAACAAAACTAATGGGTCCCGACCCAGAATGTTCACCCACGCGTGTGTTGTTTGGCAATGGTTTTAGTCCTCTGTGAATTATAATCTGGGTTGAGTAAGAGAAGGTTATGCAAATTTTAGCAGCACATATGCCTCTACCATTCGCCATATTAAGAATTCAAAGAAACACCCAGATAAGAGATCTGTGATCTATCTGTCGATTTATCTCTGTTTCTTTATTTATTGTACCCTGTAACAGGATTAACGACTTTTTGTTCCAAAGATGTCCTGCATCATCTTGCATCATGTTTGTACATGGTTTGTATTGGCTTTAATGGAAGAGACATTTCTTTGTCGACATAAATCATGTTAACTGCTCGTGTTTGAGAAGATTTCCTTCCATCCAGTTTGTATTGTCCACACTCTTAATATATTGGTCATATCAGCCTCCTGAATTGTGCAGGTTACGGGAGAATGCAATCCTGGATTTGGGCATTACATCATTATCATCATTAAATCATTATTTTTATTGTTTTAAAACAATACTTTATTAAGTTTTTCACATATAGAAAACAAACAAATAACAATGACCACAGCAATAAAAAATAATGTATAAGTGTACTATACAACAAAACAATCAAAACATGAAAAACAAATTAAATAATAAGTAAATAAAAACAAATAAATAACTGAAAAAGCAGCAGTAGTGATGATCTTCAAGTTAGTGCAACATTCTCCATTCATCTTCCAAAAATTCCAAAAAAGGTTTCCACACTTTAACAAACTGTTTTCTTTTCCCTCTAACAATAAGTCTTTCCAGTGCAAGGTATGTTGCAATCTCCTTCAGCCACAACTTTACAGAGGGTAATTGTATATTTTTCCAGAAAAGAGTGATCAGTCTTCTAGCTTGTTAAGAAGCCCAAAATCAGTCAACACTGATTGTTTAGAATTGACGACCAAATTTTCAGGGTATATACCTAGGATACAAAGTTCGCTTGTAGGGGAACATTCTTACCCACCATCTGGGAAATGGCCCCCATCACACTCTGCCAAAATAGCTGTACCTTTGAGCATTCCCAAACACAGTGGAACAGTGTTCCTTTTTCCTCTAAACACTTACAACAAAAATATCTGGAATATTAGGATAGATTTTATTCAGCTTTACTGGGGTGATATAAGTTTGCATTAGCCATTTATATTGGAGCAATTTCAATCTTGTAATAATTGTATTTTGCTTTGCCTTTAAGCATGCCACTTCCCAGTCTTCTTTAGGTATATTCTCTCCAATATCGACTTTCCATGCTTCTAATCTGTCTTTGGATGATTCCTTTTCATAAAATGTTATTTTTATTGTTATTTTTATTTTTTATTTATGCCATACAATTTATATTTCCAACATTTAGTAAATAAGTATCTCTGCATTCACGTCTTGTCTTTCATGTGAATTTCATGGAATAGAGACATATGGATAAGAAACAAAAAACAACAACACACCTAATATAAGTCAAAAGAATACTAAACAAACAATTATTATTAGACATGATTATATATTAATATAATTTATGTTTATTTATGCTTAGTACATTTGTTTGTTTGTACATTGAGAGCAACATAAAACCAGAGTCAGATTCCTTGTGTGTTCTAGCGATTTTCTGTGTTTTAAATTTTTTATTTTTTTATTTTTTTTGACGGTTAGTATCTATATATCCATAAAAATGTCTATTTTAGTTGTATTTTAGTGGTGACCTTTTCCATCATTTCATTGACCTTTTGTTGCCATTGTTTTATGTTTGGGGGTTATGGATGCAAACTATAGGATTGTAAGTTTGTTCGGCTATTAATGAAGGATCCTTTTATTATAAACATTTTCTTTTTCAGAATTTGATTTCCTAAGAGGATGCCTAAGATTAATAGCTTTGGGTTGAAGTTTAATTTTATATCCATCCTCCGCTTACCTCTGCAGATTTGGGAAGCCTGATGTGAGAGGTCTTTTTGGTGGCCACAACCTGTGCTGAATGACAGTATTGGTCCACACATGTGGAAGTATCCTTGAGCAAGATACTAAACCCCAAATTGCTCCCGATGCTGTGCATCGGTGTGTGAATAGAAATAGGTCTTCTTTTCTTTTTCAGACAGCCTGTGCTCTTTCATGAGTGTTATCAATCTCTCTGTACCAAAGAGTAGCATTTGGCAGGAGTCTTTGATCCAATAATGCAGGATGCACTTTCGAGCATTTCAGATTAGTTTCTCAAGGAGTTTGTAGTGTGATACAGGGAGATGTAATTCCCTGGAGGGAAGGCCCAAAAGAAAAAGGAAATCTCCTTGCATTACCTTGGAGATAAATGTCCAGAATCTGGAGATTACAGTCCTAGAAATAGTGGAAATATGTCCCCCTATCAGAATGGCACTTAATGCACAGAGGTGAGAGGGAACGGGGGAACAGGTGTGATATACAGCCTGTGGAGAATCTTGACCTCAGTCTCCCTCAGTCTTACAGGTAAACATGGATCCTATTTACGAGAAATATTTGGCAATTCATATGTGTCATAGGAGCGAAGAAGTGAATAAAGTGATGATAAAATAGGTTTTAGATTTTGGCGTGCCAGTATAAATCTTTCTCCATTACTATAAGGGAGGTTAACAGAAAAAGAGGTAACCTGAAAATATATAAAATGTCTCATTTGCAAATAACCAAAGAAATGCTGCTTCGGAATATCAAACATCTCTTGTAACTGTTGAAAGGATAGTAAAGCATTATCTTTAAATAAGTCAACAAGAACATGAATCACCCAGTTTCGCCAAGAGGAGAAGATGAAAATGCCCTTTCTAAGTCCTGGTTGATTTTCCTGGTTAAGTACAGAGGGAGCATCTGCAATGGATACAGTAGTCGAGGGAGGATATTCATCTCATTGAGACTGATTTGACCAATCAAGGACAGTGGTAGATTATGCCATCGCTCTAGGTCTTTTTTGACTTAAGTGCAGATTGGGGCAAAGTTAAGTTTCCATAGATGGGCGGCTGTGGCTCAGAGGCAGAGCGGGTCGTTCCTTAATCAGAAGGTTGTGGGTTCGATCCTGGTGCCACATGTTGAAGTATCATTGAGCAAGATACTGAACCCCAAATTGCTCCCGATGCCGTGCATTGGTGTGTGAATGTGTATGAATGAGTTAGTTTCTGTTCGATGGACTTTGCCATCACTGAGTGAATGTGTGTGAAAGGGTGAATGTGGCACGTAGTGTAAAAGCGCTTTGAGTGGTCGGAAGACTAGAAAGGCGCTATACAAGTACAGGTCCATTTACCATTTTACCATAGATCCTTCAGATCTGGGGGTACTTTTATTCTGATCTGAGGTGTCTAGCCCCATTATTATCTATTGATTTAATTGAGTCTACAGATTGTATATTGTTTTTCTAGAGCCAGTTGTCTCTTAAGGGCATCTCTTTTCTGCGGTGACGTATAAGATATAATAGCCCCACATATAAAAGCCTTTGCAGTTTCCCACAAGGTAGAAGGGCTTATATCAGGAGTTTTGTTTTTGTCATTTGCAACTCCTGTTCAATATTTTACATGCAAACAAGCAACATTTTAAGCCACCTGCTGCCAGAGTTTGCACTGCCAATCTTTAACATAAGCTAGCACATTAAAATTTTCTAAACACAAATTATTGATTGATTATTGTCGTTTTCTCTATCCTCAGCTCCCAATCTGAAGGGCCGTCCCCGGAAAAAGAAGCTATCCAATTCTTTGTTTCGTGACTCTCAAAGTCAAAAGGAGTTAGAGGTTAAAGGTCACTGTCAAAAATCACTTTTTTCCAAAGAGACTGACGCAACAGCAGGAGGAACCACAGTCAAGGTACAAATTCAAGTATTTTCTGGAATAGTAACTAGTAATTGTATTCTTACGTTACGAAATAATTTCCCCCTGGGATTATTAAAGTATTTCTGATTCTGATTCTGATTAATTTGTGCATATTTTGATAGAGACATATGTACACTCATTTCTCTGTCCTGCACTTTTTTTTCTTCCAGGTAACAGCAGACAAAGCAGGCTTATCCAAACCCAGAGGCAGCAGTGATGGCAGTAACAGGATCAATCACAGTAGCCAGACCACAACACTCGCTCTGTCAGAAGAGAGAAGAGGAAGAGGAAGAGGACGAGGACGAGGGGTGGAGTACAGAGCGGAGGAGCAGGCTTTCCTGGTGTCTCTCTATAAATATATGAAGGAGAGGAAGACACCAATTGACAGGATCCCCTACCTGGGCTTCAAACAGAGTAAAAGACCTCATGTATTACAAGTTGTAATAAACTGGAATTGAACTTTAAAAACAAAGTAAAAAGATAGACTTGTTAATGTGGAAATCCCTGATAGTAACACATCTTTGTGTGGATATTATTTATTCATATATGTGTCTTGTTCCTTTTGTCTCTGTGTGATAGTAAACCTCTGGACCATGTTTCAAGCTGCACAGAAGCTGGGAGGATATGAACTGGTGAGGTTTACAGATTTTCTTCTAGTTTACAGGGGGCAATCATCTGAGGTGTAGTAACCGAGTGTAAAACTATCATAACAATCTCGTATTCCAGATAAACGGGATTTGAGGAGAGAAATAGTCAACGCAGTAACCTGGATCCATATTTGATCAGCACTGCCTAGTTTGACAGTTTGATCTGAGTTTGGTGCGTTGAGCTGGACGGGCTCACTGAGAATGACCTGTCAGTCACAAGGTAGCCACGCCCTAAAGTATACCCTGCTTTATGGTCTATTTTACTCTAAATGTGACCGTCATTTGATAAATGAACATCATGCTGTATGGAAGAAGAAGGAAACTAGACATTGAGACCATAAACTCATTAGAAAACTGTTTACTGAGCTAATAGGTCAAGTCATTGGGTCATTACATTAAACGCAACCAGGCTTCTTTTTGCAACCAACAGAGCTTTAAGGTACTCCCACATTGGTCAGTGCTTGTACAGTTACAATGATGCCTTCCTGTTTGATAATAATGCAGTTTTAAATGTTTGTAACTCAAATAAATGTCTTTTACAATAATCCCTCAATAAATTGTTGATAAATAGTGGTACAACAATTACAACTCATAAACCCTGGATTCAGGTTGCCTCATTAGAAAGTGGTAGCATTCTGTTTATTGTTGTCGTGTAGATTACAGCTCGTAGGCAGTGGAAGAACGTCTATGACGAACTGGGAGGAAACCCAGGCAGCACCAGCGCTGCAACCTGCACACGTCGACATTACGAAAGGTCAGTGTGTTCACTAATGTGTGCATTTCACTAAAGGACATTTCCAGCTGAATGGAGCTCTCTTTTAATAAGATGTACTCCTACATTTGCTGTTCTGGCTGACTTTTATTTTCACATAATATTCATAGAACATTTGTATTGTCCTCAGTGCAGAGCTTTGCCATGAAGTCTAATGCTGTTTCAGAAGCCACGCAGTGTGCCAAAAATAAAATAACTGTTTCAGTGCAGCTATTCATGTAGCAATTGATTCTCTCAAAACAGCTCTTCAGCTCTACCCTGCCTCTCTTAACTCGAGCACATCCTTAAAACACCAAACGGCTCAAAGTGTATTCCAACCCCAGAGGGCTCAGGTAAAGCTTGTACAGTGCCATAATGGATTGACAGACTTCAAGGGATCATTTCAGCAGCTATCATTTAACAATTTCCCTAGTTTTTCCTTTAGGACAGTTGACATTTCTTTTTCTTTTTACATTTCAAGCCTCCACACCTGACAGCCATGGCAGGATGCATTATGTTTTTTTGTCCATCCACTCATCCATCTGTCTTTTTTCCATGAACATGATGTCTCAGGAACGCCTCAAGGGAAATTCCTTCAAATGAAGGATGAATTGATTAAATTTCAGTGGTCAAAGGTGACCTCATAAAACAAGTTTTTGGCCATAATTCAAGAATTAATTTGCTAATTATGACAAAATTTCAATTAAATTCAATTTTATTTGTATAGCGCCAATTCATAACAGAAGTTATCTCAGGACACTTTTCAAATAGAGCAGGTCTAGACCGAACTCTTTATAACATTATTTACAGAGACCCAACAGTACCACCATGAGCAAGACCTTGGCGGCGGGGGCAAGGAAAAACTGCCTGTTAAAAGGCAGAAACCTAGGACAGATCCTCCGGCTCTAGGTGGGTGGGCATCTGTCTCGACCAGTTGGGGTGAGAGAGAGAGAGAGAGAGAATGAGAGAGAGAGAGAGAGAGAGAGAGAGAGAGAGAGAGAAGGCTGCATGAAAAATGTGCTCCTGAATTCATCTCAAACATGGACCTAAACATTTTGCAAAAAAAAACATAATTTTCTTCAAAAAGGACTCTAAAGAAAAGGTAAATACTTTATCAGCAAAACAGAAGAAAGAAAATACCATTTTTGGATATTTTTTTAAATGAAAACAACCAGCTGACTGTCAAAAGCTAGCTGGCAGCTGTGTATCAACTGCTGTAAGCTACCACCTGCCACAGTGTAGAACATTTCTAAGGAGGAACCAGACTAAATAAGATAACAGAAGATGGGTTTTATGAAGATAAGGAGGAGAAGAAAAGAACAAACCAAAAATCATAACATTAATAACTGTGTTTAAAGGCTAAAAAAGCTAACAACAGTAAAGAGTTAGCCCACTAGTAAACAAACAAAGTGGTCGCCATGGAAACAGCCAAGCAGAGAACAGAGAGCAGGGAGGTTAAATCCCCTGCTCTCTGTAAGAGTGCAGCAGCCAGGGAGAAGTTTAAGGAAAAGACACTTCAGGAGAACAAAGAAGTCTTGTTCACGGACTGTGCACTACACAAAGAAGTGAGGAAGAAGAACAACCTCATATTCTTCAGACTCCATATACATCTGGAAGGAAAGTCTGTGCAAGAAATATCCTTAACGTTACATCTCCAGTGAGGGCATCATCTCAGGAGGCCGATTGAAAATTTGTAAGGATAAACACATGAACAAGGATGACCGCCTGCTCACCATCACCTACTACACAAAGGGAAAGGTGATGGTCCAGGGGGGCGAAGAAATCTTGAAATCCTTTGAAGAACTTTTCTCCCTTCCCCTCCTCAGTCCCTGTCCAACAACCCCTTATACAGCATCAGCAGCTGAGCCATGGAGCGTCACGTCCCCCTCCCCACCCACAGCAGCAGAGCTATGCTGCAGCTGTAGCCCGGCCTGCTGTCACAGCCCCTCCCCCCGCTACCTGTGAGCTGAGAGACATCAGGGAGATGCTGCACACCCTGTGCATCCGGCTTCTGTCCAGCTAAGATATATTTACTCAGAGCACTTTCCCATTTGAGTTACAAAACAACATGGACATATATTTGTTAGTTAGTAATAGTAATAGCAATAGTAGTAGTCAGTACAATGGTAATATTATTGAAAATAGTACATCTCCATGGAATTAATATCCCAATATATATAATATAAATATATAGATAGAAGATTTTTAAATCTTTGTCTCACTATACAGGTTCATTTTGTGTGTTTTCTTTTTTGATGCATTCATTCCATATAAGCTGTTGGAATATTCAGGGTCTCCACTCCTCAACCTTTGAGCTGAAGAGTGGAAACCCTGAGTTCATGAAATCTATCAAAGACGTTGATATCATTGTGTCAAGATGATTTGCTCACTCGCTGTCCCCCAGGATATAATGAAGTCATGGTGCTATCCATAAAACTAAAAAACATACACAAGGGCAGAACATCAGGGGGGATTTTGGTGTGGTATAATAGAGATCTTTACAATCAGATCTCACCAGTAAAACAGGGTAAATCGCACATTTGGTTGAGGTTAGATCAAACCCTAGGCATAATCAATATACCTCTGTGCAATTTACATACCCCCAGTGGATTCTCCTTATTTTGAAGAGGACATTTTTGACACCCTAAATTCAGAAATCACCTATTTCCAGGCCCAGGGAAATGTACTTCTAACTGGAGATCTAAATGGACGTACAGGAATTGAACCTGATATCACTGACACACAGGGCAACAACCATGTATTTGGTCAGGCCCCCCTGTTTACCACACCAAACATCACCCATCGGAATAACCTTGACTCAATGTTAAATCAAAGTGGCAGGGAGATATTGCATCTCTGTCGGGCCTTAGGCCTGTACATAGTTAATGGTAGGTTCAGAGGGGACTCTTTAGGGAGGTTCACATACTCCTCAGCTCTTGGGTCTAGTGTTGTAGACTATGCAATCACTGACATGGACCCCTTAACTATCGTGAGTGAGTGCATTCACTGTCAGACAGCAATTCTTCAGACCACAACCAAATTAATGTGTTCTTTAAATTGTCAGGTCAAATTAGTGACAGAAAAAGGGAACCCAGTAAGCTGTATAAATTAAATCCTTCTTACAGATGGGCCCCAGACAGTGGAGACAAATTCATCAAGGCTTTAAACTCCCCTGATCTGATGAATTACATATCAATATATACTCAGAATCAATATGTCCCTACCAGAGATGGGGTAAACAAGGCCATTGAGGATATCAATATGATATTTCATAAGGAAGCTATTAGGGCTTACCTCATAAAGCAAAGACGGAGACCTGTTAAAAGGCAAAATACTGACAAATGGTTTGATCAAGAATGCAAAACAATCAGAAAAGAGCTGAGAAAAATAGCAAATGAGAAACATCGCCAACCGAACAACCCAGCCCTGCACATTCGATACAATGAAATTTTAAATACATATAAATACACAATTAGGCTCAAAAAACAAAATTATACCCAATTGAAACTTGATTCTGGGATATGTGGAACAACTTCAACACAAAGCAACAGCAGACATTACCCATCCAAAACGGTGACATCTGGAGATCACATTTTGAAAATCTGTACAAAGACATACCAATCAATCAAATTAATTCAGATCAGTGTATTATGAAAGAAAAACTCCAAAAGTTAGAAGAAACAATTAAAGACAACCAAAACCCCCTTGATTTAGAAATTACTTGGGAAGAAATAACGTGTCTGAAAAAATGTCTGAAGCCAAGGAAAGCTTGTGGTCCAGACAGCACTAGAAACGAAATGCTCAAAAGCAGCACCCCAGAAATGCAGGGTGCAGTGTTACATTTGTTCAATATTATACTACAGGCAGGATGTTTTCCCAACATCTGGTGGAAAGGGCTCATTTCCCCCATTCATAAGAGTGGGGACAAATCAGACCCTAATAACTACCGTGGCATCTGTGTCAGCAGCTGTCAAGGTAAACTATTCTGTAGTATTCTTAATACAAGAATACTGGATTTCCTTGAGGATCAGTTAATCTTAAGTAAAAGTCAGATTGGCTTCCTCCCAAAACACCGCACCACCGACCATGTATATACCCTTCACACTTTAATCAACAAACATGTACAACAAACTGAGAATGGAAAAATATTCACCTGCTTTATTGATTTCAAGAAAGCTTTCGACTCTATTTGGCATTAAGGGCTCTATTACAGACTTTTAAAATGTGGTATAGGTGGCAAAATATATGATCTGGTTAAATCGATGTATTTGGAAAACGTGTGCTGTTAAAATTGGAGACAAACTAACTGATTTCTTCCCCCAGAGGCGGGGTTGCAATATAAGTCCGACTTTATTTAATGTGTATATAAATGAACTGGCTGTTGAGTTAGATAAATGTGCTGCTCCGGGCCTCTCCCTCCTAGATAGAGAGGTGAAGTCTCTGTTTTATGCTGATGACCTTGTTCTACTGTCTCCTACTAAACAAGGACTACAGCTACAGCTGGACGTAGTAGAAAAGTACTGTCAGAACTGGGCCCTGGCAGTGAACATGAAGAAAACCAATGTCATGATCTTTCAAAAACGCCCCAGCATCAGGGAGTTTCAACATGGCAGTGAATGCACTAAAAGAAAAAGCTCAAAGAGCTCTATATGCAATTAAGAGAACATTTTATGATTTCCATATTCCAATAAAAATCTGGCTTAAAATATTTGATAGTGTCATCCAGCCCATTGCGCTGTACAGTAGTGAAGTATGGGGTCCACTCAGTCATCAGAGCTTTAACTGTTGGGAAAAACATCCAACAGAATCTCTACATGCAGAATTCTGCAGATACATTTTACACGTACACAGAAACACACCAACAAATGCATGTAGAGCAGAATTAGGCAGATACCCACTGATAATTAACATTCAGAAGAGAACACTCAACTTCTTTAACCACCTGAAATCCAGCCCCAGAGACACCCTCCACTCCAAAGCCCTCCAAACCCAAGAGCTGAGCCCAGAAAAGAGTCCCCTATGTTAGTTGGTACTGAGGCTAACTGCCCCCTCTCAGACACACTCTGACCAGCCTCACAACAACACTGCTCTACAAACAGTAATCAGGGTAATTCAAATTATAGCACAATGTAAAGAAAGCTATCTGGACCATTGGGAAGAAACAACTAAAAGCCAAAGCAGACTGGAATGTTATCTTGCCCTTAAAAGAGATTATGAATGAGCAGAATATCTCTCTACTGTCAGAGATAGAAAGCAGAGACAGATCCTAACCTAGTACAGGCTCAGTGACCACAAACTGCCAATCAATACAGGAAGACACAAAAAATCATGGCAACCAAAAGAAAACAGAAAATGTGGTCACTGTTTGACAGGTGAGGTTGAGACAGAGATGCACTTTCTCCTACAATGTACAAAATTAAATGATACGAGAAAAATGTATTTGAACAAGTTCAGCTCTTTGATACCAGATATCAAAGAGCTGAACGACCTCTCCAAATTAAAAATAATCCTCGGAGAAGGAGAGCGGGCACACCTTGCTGCCCAGTATATATTAACATGCTACAACCTGAGGGACAGTAAGTGATCGAGGCGCACACACACACACACACACACACACACACACACACACACTCTGTATATAACTAATATAATGTTCATAATGTGTATATCTTTGATTTATTGTATTGTATTTGAATGATTTGCTTTGGCAATATTGTTTTTTTAAAAACTTTCATGCCAATAAAGCCCATTTTGAATTTGAGAGAGAGAGAGAGAGAGAGAGAGAGACACAGAGACACAGAGAGAGAGAGAGAGAGACAGACACACAGACAGGTGCACAGCAACAACAGTAGCAACAACTACACTAATAGTAGTGACTGATGATGAACATGACAACAACAACGATGGGGGACAATGAGCAGTGACAATAGTAATAATAGTAACTGTAGTAATAATAAAAGTAATAATAATCCTAACAATAATATCAGTGATATTAGCAATGGCAGTCAAGCAGGACCATGGTAGGAGGCTCCACCAGGATCCATGAGAACCTGCGAGACGAGAAAGCACAAGAACTCCGGGGAAGAAGTGAAGTCAGTAACATGCATTAATGGAACATGAATGAGTGCAGAAAGAGAGAGGAAGAGAGGAGCTCAGTGCACCATGGGAAATCCCCCGATAGTCTAGGCCTATAGCAGCATAACTAAGGGATGGTTCAGGACTCACCTGATCCAGCCCTAACTATAAGCTTTATCAAAGAGGAATGTCTTAAGCCTACTCTTGAATGTGGTGAGGGTGTCTGCCTCCAGAACCACAACTGGAAGCTGGTTCCACAGGAGAGGAGCTTGGTAACTGAAGGCTCTGGCTCCTGTTCTACTTTTAGAGACTATAGGAACCACAAGTAGCCCAGCATTCAGAGAACGTAGTGTTCTAGAGGGGTAATAGGGTACTATGAGCTCTTTAAGATATGAAGGGCCCTGACCATGAAGAGCTTTATAGGTGAGGAGGAGGATTTTAAATTCAATTCTACATTTTACAGGGAGCCAGTGCAGAGTAGCTAGTACAGGAGAGATGTGATCTCGTTTTCTAGTTCCTGTCAGTACTCGTGCTGCAGCGTTCTGAATTAATTGGAGCGTTTTAATAGACTTATTGGGGCAACCTGATAATAAAGAGTTGCAGTAATCCAGCCTTGAAGTAATGTTTCACACACATCTAATAGGATAAAATTATTAACTGATGAAATGTTCTATCCAAAAGGTCAACTTCACTGTGACCTCACAATGTCCTGAAAGAACCCATCGTTTTTCTTTTTAGGTGGCACAAGTGGGGCACTGACTTATGCAGGGGTGGCATGAAGTATGTGTCCACCATTCCCTATTTATGCCATTCCAATACACTCTAGGGACCCCAGTATGAAATATTCAAATACACTTGGCAAAAATATATTTATACTACATTCAAAAAACTGCATGCGATTAGCATTAAGTGGTCATGTCTGCAAAAGGAGATTTGTGGGTACCTATAGAACTAGGGATGTCCTGATCCGATCAACAAGCAGTTACAGTTTGCAGTAGCTTTTATCTATTTATCTATCTTTTAACTATTGAGATATTTGTGAGAGATTTGTGGTCATCTCTTCTCCAGACTCATCCTGCCCTATGAGAAGTTCATCAGAGGTGAGGAGGACAAGACCGTCAAACCCAGGAAACAGGAGGCGGGCTCAGACAAAGAATCATCCAATAGTGTCTGTACCCCCATCCTGAAGACCAAGCCAAGTCCTGATAAGAATGAGGATCACAGCAGACTAGTGAGTCTCTTAGTTATCTGTCAGTTCACCCATCATTTCATTGTCTTTGCTTCCGTCATGTGGATTAGTGGTTCATAACATCAGAATGTAAGCTGATAACATGTGCATCAGAACATGCATACACAGATAAGAACATAACCTCAGGCCCTATTTTAACTCCACATTCTCAATGAACAGTGCAAAAGGTCACATGTGAGGTGTAAAGCACACTTGATATTCAGGTGAAATATGCTGATGTTCAGAAAGTCCATTAATCTAACATATAAGCTTCCTTTCTACCACTAAATGTCTCATTTAATTTAAAATAAGTTGTTTCAAAAAATAACCATTATGCCTGTCTTTGCCTCTATACTACAGTAAAAGGCAATTAGTACAATTAAAGCAGCAGGAAATGTATATCAACTATGAAAATTATGAATTTATAACAAAAACCTGTTTCATCAACCTCATTTTCTGATTCAAACATCAATTTTAAGCATTTTGTAATTGCTTTGTCAAACAAAACTCCAAGGATGGAATACTGCTATTCCTGTGGTATTCAGCTAGTTAAAGGACCAGTATGTAATAATTTAATATAAATAAATTATTTAAAAAGTGATGTTACTTACTAGATGTTATGGACCAGTCTACACTAGTTTGAATGCTTTTTTACTCCTGGTGAGCTCCTCAAGCACTAATACCGAAGTGTTTCCTTATGCGATAACAGATTACAACCTCCTCGCCTCACCCTCCCTCACAGGATACACCCTCCCCTTCCAAGCATGTATAAACACCAAACATTATGGTGGCCACAAAAAAAGCCTCTGTAGAAGAGGACCCACTCCTTTTTGTAGGTGTAAACAGCTTATTCTATTCCTATTTTCAGGTGATTATACACTAATGAAATCATACCATATCAATCATGAATATTATATTTTATTTCTGACAATAGATCCTCATAAATGTTACACACTGAACCTTTTAGTGAGTGAGTAAAAGATATAGTTGTGTACCTACAGTATTCTTTACAAGCAAGCCAAGATAATTAAGGTTACTCGTTCTCTCCCTTTTTTGTAGCCACATTCATTAAGCACTTTGCCCACATATTTTCTTATGTCTCATTTACAGATTTTCTGTATTTCTAAATTCATTTGTTTTTCTTGTCTGCCTCCCTCTTTTCTCTTAGCAGGAGTTAATGGAACAGAATTCTCAGCTGAAACTTGAACCCCAAATCTGCATCACCCGTTTGGATCCCCTACAGCCTTCACATAGTTTGAGAAAAAGAGGAAGGCTAACACAGGATTGTCAGAATGAAACCGAGATCCAGCCGATGCTGGAACAGGAAGATAAGGTGAAGAGGAAGAGGAGGTATAGTGGGTGTGACCCCTCCTACCTGACAACTTCTCTAGTGACAAAGGACAACAAGAGTGTATTTCCACTTGCTGCTCCAAAGATTTTCAACCATGCCCACTCAGCGGTGGATCTGTGGCAGCATCAGCAAGTACCATTACAGGATCAGGGCCATATTGAGAAACCAAGAAACCTGAAATCTCCAACAATCCCAGAACCCCCCAGTGAACAAGCCGAACTACCAAGGACAGAGGACACTTCTTCAGGCTTCACAACTCTCTTCGACTCCTCTGGGGTTAGCAATGCGATTATGTCTCCACTGGCCAAGAAAATCCACGGTCGTTCCAACTTTGACCAGCCCCCTCTACTCATTAACTCAAGTTTAACCAGTTGTATAACGGAAGAGGCAGCAGAGCAACCAGTTGTAGGCTCAAATTCCTCAGTGGTGGAACTCAGTCGCCCTTCGGTGATACAGCATGTGCAAAGTTTCAAAGTCGAGAAAGATAGAGCAACAGAGATTAAAGCAAGCACACCTCTTCCATTATATTCTCACGGACATTTCCATCATGTGCTCCCTTCTCTCCCCCATCAAAAACAGCCTCGGTGTCCTCTGTCACCTCTGGTCACTCCTAAGATGCCCAAATCCAGCTGGACACCTCAAGGCTTCCACAAGGATCTCTCCTCATCCTGCTCACAGCCTCATCATTGGCACAGGGCAGCTGATAAAGGTGATGGGGTGATTGATGCTGAGTTAGTTCATGATGGATCTAAACAACATCATGAGCAGGGAGCTACTCTCTCAAGAGACCCCGCTAGCTTGGTGGGATTCCTTCAGTCTGCTGATGTTTCAAAGTACTCCGCCCATTCTGACCTGGAAAAATACTGCAATCCAAGAACAACAGCATTTAATGAGCAACCCACAGATCTAAGTCTCCCAAAGTCCTCTCCTAAACCACTTACCCATTCCTACACTGCCTGTCCCCCTCAAGTGTTCTGCAAGAGTACCCCAATGCTCTCTCAGAATGGACTCACAGCCATCAATATTGCACATTATTCTATAGCAAGGCAAGTTCCCCCAGTCCTGGTGGCTCCTGCAAACACATGCAGTCCCAGACAACACCCAGCAGTTGAATCCTTTACTAGAGCCACTGAGGAAGCCGTGAATGGTACAGTCCACAATGGAGGAGGAGTAAAGAAACAGGAAGCAGGAGACGAGGGAGAGCAAAAACAATTTGAAACGGCACTCTACAACAAATTGCTGCACAATATCTGTGGTGCACGACCCTTCAACGAGCTTGGAAACCACATCTCAAAGAGGAGGAGGCAAGCTGTTACACCAGCTCCTAAAGACCTCCTTTCCTTGTCTCCTTCTAGGAAGATCGAGTCACCCAAGGAATTGGATAATAGTTTTGGGAGAGAAAATGCAGAGGAGGTGGAGGGTGGTCCAGCTGCCTCCTCCTTCTTCCTTCTCAAACCTATTTCTCAAATCCCCGACACCCTTATACCCGCAAGAACCCTTGCACTCACTCAGGTTCGGGACCTATGCAGGAACACCTTGAGCATTCCCTATGCTATGGACCAACCGCACTCTTCGGACTCACACCTCCAAAACCCACATCAATACTTGAAGACTCAATCAACTGACTTTGTTTCCCCAATGGTCCCACCCATTGCCATCTATCCTTCGATCATACAAAGGCAGCTATTGGATCAGACAGCTGCCAGTCCGATACGTATCTACCAACAAACATACGGGAATGTGATTCACCATAGGCTGTATTCAGTGTCAGTCAACCCACAGCCCACCTCCAGCCAGCTGCACTTAAACTCAGTTCAGCCAAGCACCAAGCTGCCATAAGGCCGTGGCTCTGGGCATTACTCTCTCTCGTTACTCAGGTCTAGTTGTTTCTGATTACTGTGAGCAACCGTAAGTGTGTGTAATACAATTTAACGATACTCATCTGGATCACATGGATATGTATAATGCAGAGTTAGCTCCTGACTCTGAGTTTTTATTTCACAGAAGGTTCATACGAGAACCTTACCTGTCTTGTCTTTGCCTTGCTACAACAGACAGAACATTTTACAACAATAGACTTTTTTCAGAAAAGACAAACATGTCAGAGTAGGTAAAGCACAGCTGTGAGTAATAAATGTGATCACTGGTGAATTCCATTGCATTCTCAGGTTCCCTTGTATTGTGCATGTTGGCACTTCCAAACAGGAGGGAGACAGATTTAATAAAGGTGGTCCTGGTCTTTCACAGTTGGGATGTTGTGTTTTGTCCCCAGTCTTGAAGGGCTTATGGATTCTGCTGACTACCAGATGTCACTGTGCTTGCTGTGTTCAACAAAACAAACGAAAGCTCCAAATCTTTTTTTCCACATATACGGGGAGAAAGCCTCAAAGCTTCATCCACCCAGCACTAGCTCACTGTCGCCTGACACCTGAAAAGAACAGAGTCATCGTTAATGTCAGTAACACCTGTGCTTTTCCTACTGTGCCAGGTCAGAATGTCTGCTGTGAAAAAGGCCCGTCACCATGGTTGTATTTAGAGATTTTGTTATTTTATGTCACTTTTATAGAGTGGGTGTAAATGTATGTTGTTATGATTATTTACTTGTGGCAAACAAGATTATATAAGGTCATATCATGATTCTTCCGACGTTATGGCATGAAACACAGGTCAAATGTATAAAATGAAATTCTCCCAGAGCACCTAATATCAGTGTCACCAGCTTGTACACACAGTAGCTTTCCTTAGGATACACTGAGATAGAAGCTTGCTTTCACACAGTTTTATATTTTATGTAAAAACACACATTCCTCACATATTTTTGCAAAATCATATTATTACAAAACAACCAGATAATGTCATAACCTTATAATAAATAAAAATCTTTGAATACAATATAAGGATTTGTAAAATACAGGCCTCACAAAAATCATTTTCCCATTCTCCACAATTTCCCTACACAAACACATGCTTGTACAGGAAGGTTCTGCTACACTGGTTTCTTCTGGCAGCCATAAATATGATCAGAAGTAACGTTTCCCACCCTATGATTCAGAAGTTAAAAACAGTCCCTCCCACTGTCAGCTGCTACTTGTTGAATTTTTGTTGTCAGTAATAACAGTGTGTTTCCAGAGTGAGCCTTGTCGAATACACAGTATCGGCTTCTCATGAACTGTACCAAAACTGGTACTGAGGTCTGACTGCCAGTCTTTGGACAAACCTGCCAACTATGAGTGGCTCTGCATGTGGCAGTCTAAAGACGCCTTCTGGCCAAAGCTGCAGCTGCACTCTTGGCACTGATACGGTTTCTCTCCTGTATGTTTCCTCATGTGGACCACCAGGTTGCCTTTCTGCGCGAACGATTTGTGACATTCTTGGCACTGATATGGTCTTTCTCCTGTGTGTATCCTCGTGTGATTGACCAGGTCCGACTTCTGACAGAAGTTCCTCCCACAGAACTGGCACTGATACGGTTTGTCCTCTGTGTGGATCTTTACGTGTCTTATTAAAGTCTTAGTGAGGGAGAAACATTTGGTGCAGCATGGACATTTGTAGGGTTTCTGTGCCGTTCCTGCTTCGAACTGAACGATGAGTTCGGTGGAATTTGCCGAAGGTCTTCTCGGAAGGATGTTTTTTACATTGAGGTGTTTGGGCTCTGTCTCGCCTTGATTCACTGAGAGGAGCGGCCGATCATCTGTGGGGCCATCTGATACACCACCATCAGCTCCAGCCAGCTCAGTCTTAATGTGATCGACTGGAACCGCAGCTGGGGTGTCTTTATCTATATCAGCGACGGTCTGGATCTGGTAAAGACAGAGGGGCTGCAGCGACTCCTGATCGAACTCACTTTTATCATAGGGAGTGATGGTAAGAGGAAGAGGAAATTTCTTAATGCCAGATTCATCCTGTCTGGAGTCCAGCCATTCTTCGGTCCTACCAGCAGGTGTCACTGACCTGAGTGCATCCACCTTTTCACTAGAACACTGATATGGTTTCTCCTCAGTGTGTTTTTGTCTGTGAACAAGCAGACTGTCCCTCTGGTCAAAGCTTTTGTCACACTCTTGGCACTTGTATGGTCTGGCACCTTTGTGTGTCCTGGCATGGATGATGAACTCAGACTTGTGGCAGAAGGTGCGCGCACAGAACTGGCACTGGTACGAGGATGATTTTTCCTCTGGGTGCTTTTTGATGTGTCGCACCATAGTCTTTTTGGAAGAAAAGCCACTCAGGCAAATGGGACATCTAAATGGTTTCTTCACTTTGAGAATTTTTAAAGGCGTGTTCAGGTCACACTCCTGCTTCACATCATCATCCTCAATATCAATCAGTATCTCCTGTTCACTTGGATCGTTGCCACTGGCAGGAGAGGAGTCTGGACGAGTGCTGTTCATGTTGGGGCCGTCTTCTGTCAGCTCTGACCTGTTGTTTTCTGGTTCCCAGCATGCACTGAGGTTCACCCTGGCGGCAGGCAGCTGTTGACCAGACTGCAACCTCACATCTGTGGCAGACATCCGGAGAGAGTCTGAAAGGAATTAGAGGACAATATTTATTTCACAGATTCATGAGTTAGATTACTGTTTGAAGAATGTAACTGAACCGCAACACATGCTGACGACAAACAATGTGGCACCCACACACCCATTGTTGTCTATGTGAGCCCACACACCGAACAATTTTCACACACACTTCCCAGATCGGCACACTGGCTCCTGTGCTTTAGCAAGTCTTTCTGTCTATGTGTGTGCTACAGGCATCAAATGAGACAGCACTACGTACAGCCAGTGTACACATGGTTCTTTCCCTTGCTCTGCTATCTTTAGGCTCCAGGTCTGTTCTTAATGGAGCAGCTTGCGTCTCTGAAACGTGAAATTCACTCACTCGTGAATGTAAATGCCTGTATTTATTGCCGATTTAATAAATACATTTTTAATGAAATACACAGCAAAAGTAGTAATTTGTGTGTTTGCAGTTAGAGAGCGAGGGAGGGAGGCAGCCTGTTAAATTCCATTCCTTGTCAGACAACTGAACTGAACTATGACATTTGATAGCGAATAAATACTATGTTCAGCAGAAGTCATTACCAAGCTGCTGAGCTGCAGATGTAATAATTATTTCATGATCATTACATTGTCAAAAAAACAACTAAACAACAGGTTAAAAATAGGTTAAGATTATATAAAAAGTGATGTTACTGGGTTACAGAAGATTCACTTGTTTTAGTATTTTGTATATTTCAGGTAGGCCTGCAGCTAACAATTATTTTCATTATTGATGAATTTGTTGATCATTTTCTCAATTAATCAAGTAGTTGTTTAAAGTTGCAACTCTTCCGGAATGATAAATCAGCTTGGTGTTCAGCATTAAGGACCCACTCCCTCTGTAGATAAAAACAGCTCATTCTAAGGTAACGAAAACACAACCCTTATTTTCAGGTGATTACACATATTATTATTCCTTATAATACATTACATTCTACTTCTGACAATATATCCTCCTAAATGTTACACACTGGACCTTTAAAGCTCAGCTACTTCTGTGTTTTTTAAAATTGGATCCATGTCATGGTTTCTTTTTATAGAAAGCAAACTTATAATAAACTGACCTTCACTATGTGACTTGGCAACATCCAGCAGTCTGCGGTGGCTGTCCACCACCCACTTTGAACAGGATATTTCCTCCTCATACTCTATAATGGTTCTCTCTACAATCCTGAAGATCTCCTGGGCGGCTGCAGACAGACACTCGCTGACGAGCGCCCTCAGCAGCTCCATCTTTGCCGTTTTCACCATGGGGAGGCGTTCTCCACAACCAGAGTCAGGGTATTCCTTTACGAAGCAGGCATGTACCCTCCACCCTCCTCGTCAATCCTGCTCGCTCCACGGCTCCACCTGAAGTTCCTGTGTCCTCAGATCCCGCCTTGCTCTGGCCATGTCTGCAAACACAACATCCTGCTGGCAGGAGGCCGCTTCTGAGTCAGCAATGAGAACCAGGCGGATAAGCTGGAGACCTGGAAGATATTTAACGGTAATGTGATGGTTTACTCAGGAGAAAGAATGCTCATTCAGATCTTCTCAAGTGCCTTGATGTAGTGTCTGTTTTAAATTAGATCTATTGAATTCTTTACGCAGAGAGGAGCAATATCAGATTCTCAATCATCTCAACCCAAAAAGGTAGCACTGCTAATGCAATAAGAAAATTTGATTAATTTAAGAATTTGATATTTGAATTTGAATACTGTAATACTTCACTGGGTGTAAAGAATGTACTAACAGTAGAGGAACTGAGGAGCTTCTCCACATTGTTTAAATAATGCAAGGGAGATGATTTGTTCTTTATTGATTAGCTGATGAACAACAACTTTGATAATCGTAAAAATGTTTCTGTTCAATCTTCTCAAATATTCTGTTTTGCTGCTTTTGTTCGCCTCCTGCGACAGTAAAGAGAATATCTTTGGGGGTTTAGACTTTTACTCAGTTCAAACAAGCAATAAGAAGACATTACTTTACCGTTCATGAATAAAATGAAGTGATAGAAATGGATCTGACTGCACAGGACAGGTGGCCATAGTGTGCTGAAATAAGATCTAGTGCAGTGCCGACGATATGGTAATTATTATTAGATATTGTGAGATGAGTCACTATTAGTGGGGATTATAATTATTTTCATTACACATTTAATTTCCACCGAAAGAAATTAAAATCATAATGATGTGACATCATTGTCTGTCCCAAACAAATATGTTAATATAAATATGGTTCACGTCAGAGAGCTGATTATATTGCTTGTTTAGTTTAACTTCTAGATTCTGAATCATTTCTCAGGAGGCAGCGTGTGTGTGTGTGTGTGTGTGTGTGTGTGTGTGTGTGTGTGTGTGTGTGTGTGTGTACTGTGTAACGTTACGTTTATCGGCTAGAAAACGATAAAGTGGAAGAACTTTTAATGAAGTTCGGCGTAGTTAGCCGCTCACACCATTTGTAGCTACTGTCGGAGATACACGTTGCTCCGGTAGTTTAAACGAAACATAACGTGAAAAACCACTGCGCTGTCCCCGTCCTGTCAACCACAATAACGGGTGAATGAAAGAGCGTACCCTGCTGACACTGACAGTCTTCTTCTTTTCTTCTTCTTGTAGCGGACTCAGCTTTAGCGTCAGGAAGACTAGCTAGCTAGCTGAGTCACCAGTTCACACAGTCAGTAGTTCATACTAACGTTAGCTTGTGAGAAACTCAAACTGCTGACTAGACAACACTAGCTTTGGACTTAGACTTTAACTTTATTAAGGTACATTCCCGGCTGGCCAGACATTAAAGGCTCCACAGCTAGCTAGCGCTACGTTACACAGTGTCCAGGGTCAAGTTAAGTCTTTATGCTAAAAACATAGCGGCTGCCCTTTCTTCTTCGGGTTTTAATAACGGTTGGCAAACCAGCTGGTAGGTGCATTACCGCTACCTGCTGGACTGGAATAAATATGATAAATGAATAAATAAATGACTAAATTCTCTCTATTATTCCAGTTATATTTAAATAATTCAACGATTATGTACTTGACTAACGTTACATGTTCTTGTATATTGTAAACACTGTCTTCCAGTGTTACATAAGTTCAAGTATTCCTGTGGAGTTTAGCCCATATGACCCTTTATGATTGTTTTAACTTCTGTTTTACTTGTATGTCAATTTGCTGTTGTTTTACTGGTTGTTTTGCCAATGTATCCACCTTCTTCTCATTTCCTTCCACCCCTACATGTGCAGGAACCCAAAGGAAAGAGTCATCCACTTCCCTATAATGTATATTCATAAAACAAAGAACACTAGAGCAGGCTAAAGTTCACATTTATAAAAAGAAGAGAGATTTAAAGTGTACATTTTATAAAACATTAGTCTGGGACTGTCTGCTGCCCTCCTGCAACAACATGTCTTGGTTCTCCTCAGAATCTAGCAAGGGCTGGGTGGATTCAGACCGTGATGGGGGTCTGACCGCCCTGATTGGGTTCACCTTTGTTTTTTATTGAGTTAATTAGTTCTTTTTGTGTGTAATCCATGTGTTTTCCCTCCTTCAGTTGTCATTTCATCCTGGTTTTGTCCCTGGCTACTTTTTTTCCCTGTGTTGCCTTGTTGGATTTTCACTTTTGCTTTTCTTGGACTGGTATCTGTTTATCTGCACCTGCCAGTAAGTTGTAATAAACTGAACTCACTGAGGCCATCCTGCAGCCAGTGCTGTCTTGCATTTGGCTCCAATCGTGAATCATGGCCCTTTTGAAGGTATTTCAATATGTTTAAAAATATAACCACTATAAGTGAAATGAAGTCATTCTGAGACAAAAAAGACTTTCAGTAAATGGAAGCAGTTGAAGTCACTTTTTGTCAAGTTCAAAAGTGCATTTAATGGGTTGTATTAGCCCTTTCAATGTATTTCTACTACAAAAGTAGTAAAAATACAAGTGTAGTAGACTGGGTGAGCAGTGGTTGGCTGCAAAAAAAACCCATATAGGAACAATTAGGAGCGATGCATCAGAGGATCTCAGGGAGCAGGAATGGACGTAGGTCAATGGAGTCTTTGTGCATTTGAGTTCATGTACATGTATTGTGCACCAGAGGGTGCCATTCACCTTCCATAGTTTTTGTCTTTTTTGTCCATTTTCACACCCTCTCTCCAGCATCTGAGATTACTCTTTGTTCCACACAATTATCTGATAACTCCCACATTTTGTTTAAATACACCCCAATTAAACTGAGTAATTAATAAAAAGTTAGGGTGTATTCAGGGCTGTGGTGTCCAGTGGCAATAATTAGTAGAAATCAGCAGGAAAATTATCGAAGAGAGAAATAGAGAAGCCATAAATTAAATGACTCTGGTGGATGCTTATTTTCCAGGCCACGTGCATGTGAGCACTAAAGTACTGTGCAACAGGAGTAATGAGAGTGATTTGTGAAGTGGAGAACACAGGGCTGCTGCTCCTGCCCGTTCCTGTTGTTGTGGGGTGGGAGTTTCCAGCTATACAGCTCAGGGGAAGCACCACAGGATGTCCTTTTCCTCATTCCTCAAGGATAGAATGACTCTGTGCATGTGTGTGTTACTGTGTTTTTATGATGGTTAATATGTTTCAAATGTTTTAGTATTCTTCGATTTCTGTCAGCTGCTTTTATTTTGGTGCAGAGTGATGGGTCCACACACTAATAAAAATCAGATCTAGTCCAGTCAGTATTAACTACCTTGTGTATAATTGATATAATATAGTGTGATTGATAACATAGTTCAACTCATCAAGAAATAAATACAATTCTGTAACTTTTTTATTTGATTTCACACAAGGTAGAGCGCCTATGATTTATTTGTAGTAGCAGCAGTGATATTGTGGTATTCTGGGTTTTATTATAGGCCTAATGTCATACATGGTCTAAATCAGCAATTCTGCCAAGGGGTCTGTGTACATTTTCATGTTGTTTTTTCTTTCTTGCATGTTTATTTGTTTGTCATGAAAAATATTAAAGCCAATCAGGGCCAATAAAAATATAAAGATACTTTGGGTTGAAGTCTAGTTGATTGTTGTTTTATTCCCAGGTTTGCACGGTTCAGCCAATGGTTTATTGTTTCATATTCATTGATATTACAAATTGGGTATTCTATGTTGATATAGTGTAAATATTTCAATACATGTCTAATATCTTTCTAATACATATCTCTGGTGTTGATGATCATTCCAGTTTGTTATAACCAAGATTCTTGTTAATGTCATTTAACAGACACAGATTTCATTGTCTCTCACAAAATTGGGCAAGACAACACAACCCCTTTTTTTTCCTTTGATGATGCACACCAAAGTTAAAACTTTGGTGTGCAAGAAACCATAGAAACCCAAGGCTTTAACTACCTGCTTGGTTTTGTCTGTCCCAGATGAGAAACAAAATACTGCTAAATTTTTTAATTACATTTA